GGGATAGAAGAGACTACTAACGTCAAGCATGAAAGCAAAAATATACATTTAAAAAAAATGTACGCATTGAAATCTGTAAGTATTCAAAAAACATTTTTGGAATGGAATACCCATTAAATATCTGCTTATCTCATTACAGGAGCTAAACACTTTTTTGGTGTAAGATAAAGGTAAAGTTTACTTAAAATTTATCTAACACAGAATGAAGAGTATCCAGGGTCACTGCAATGTCTACGCATCAGCAGGAAAATCTTACAAATAAATATTAAGATATACTTTACTTGCCATTTGTAAAAGGTACCTGCAAATTTGTTCACATACCCCATCAGACGGTTTTGGGGGTTGGGGTTTAGGCTCAGACAGTGTTCTGCTTCCCATAAATAGTTGGCCTATTGATTATATAATTAATCTATCAAGCCAAGGGATTTGAACCCACAACCCTTTAAATACAGGAGGGGATCTGTACCCCACAGATCTATAGTACATGCTGTCCCACAAAGAAACACATTACCTGCAACATGCAATAACTACCAGCTGACCAGCGTTCATCCATCCTTCCAGCTGCCTAGTTGAGGGTTGTTGGGAGTCCGGTGCCAATTCCAGGTAGCACAGAGTATGAAACGGGGAAGCAGACTTTTAGTCACAGACCCCACACACAAGCACACTAAGGGCAATTTAGAGAAACCACTGTGTAACTGTGGATCTCTGGACAGCAAGAGGAAACCACAAGACGCAGGGAGAACATGCAAACTCCACATGACGCAGGGAGAACATGCAAACTCCACATGACGCAGGGAGAACATGCAAACTCCACATGACGCAGGGAGAACATGCAAACTCCACATGCACAGAGTAGGGGAAGGGATTCAAACTCCAGCCCAAGAGATATGAGACTAATGTGCTACTCAATGAAACATCTCATTGCTCTAGAGATTACTTTTAATAAGCCATTAAAAATTAACAATTTCCCATAGACACAGTGCACGAATGACAAATTCATTTGGGGCAGAGAATAAGAATCACTGAATTCATTTGCATAAGATACATACACTCACCTAAAGGATTATTAGGAACACCTGTTCAATTTCTCATTAATGCAATTATCTAATC